TATATATATATATATATATATATATATATATATATAGCCATCAGAAGAGGAGAACAGAAGCAAGCAAACATAAATATAAAAGGAAATAACAAAACAAAAAAAATAGAATCCTAGTGACCAAGCAGCAGAGACTGGAAGGGACCCCAACGTGGCGAAAATGTGTCTTATCTGTGATTGAGATCGTGGGTCAGCTTTTCCAAAGGAAGGATAACAGATATCTATGTGAGCCACATATTTGGTCATAGTATTTTTAAAATAACAGCTCTACTTGGATTTCAACACAGGCTGCTCCGACTGGCTTAAAGAGAAGAGCTTGAAAGAGAAAACTATGCAGTAAGCAGCATTTCAGAGATCAAATGAGACCAGGCAGACTGGTTCAGGATGATAGAAAGCTTAAATAACAAAATCCTTACAACCAAGGTATTCTAAATAGTCTCAACAGAAGTATAACACATAGCACTTCAAGGAAAATGCCAAGATTCAAATTGGCTCACAAAAATTGAAAAAAAGAATTTAAAAAATTTCTTCTGGATCATGGAGTTGGAATTTCATATCTGTTTATTTTTTTCCCCAAATTCAACTTTTTCCATTTTTATACTGTAATTACCTTTTTTTTTCTAATTGTCAAAGTTTTCATTCCAACTTTATTAATTAACCCTTTAATTGAGATTAGAATAACTACAGATTATTATAACAATACAGTTAGCCTTACAAAGAAATTTTGCCAAAAAATTGCATGAATCACAACTGGACAGCCCCATATGCACCCGGGGTAGGTGGGTTTGGCGAGGCTGCTTATGTGTTCTTGCAGCGCACCCCCTTGCTTTGCAGGGCTTTATCAAAAATAAATGAAGCTCCCTCATTTGCTCAAGGAATGTCTGATTCTGCACACATGACAATAAAATCTTCAATAAACTCAAGTCTCACTTCTGCCGACGTTAAATTGCTCAAGAGTTTGCAGGCGTGTGTGGCTCGTTCTAGCTTACCTTTTCTCTTTGTTTCTGATGTGACTCCTTGACTTTAAGTGGTCCTCACACCTGTTCTTACACTTCCAGTCGACCGTGTGCTGACAAAACTTGCAGAAAAATTGGTCTCCAGATTAAAAAAAAATCATGGGGAAAATGTTCTGCCTTAAACTTTGCACTAAGTTTAGCATTTTTTAATTTTCTTCAAGATGTTGGTACTTCTGCATGACTCTTAGACATGGTTTACCTACTTTTTCTTGTTGGTTTAGAAACAAGAGTGCGCCCCATGTAGGTATATCTGGGAGCAGGGAGTGGATAAAAGACGTTACATATATACTACTTCTTGTCCAAAGAGTGAATTCCGTGAGATTACGTGTTTTGTAAAATATTATATTTTATTTGCTAAATTTTGCGGTTCCGTCCATGTTTTCCGCATCGGGGTAATCATATGGCCCTATGAATCGTGGATCTTTTCTTTACAGTTACAATGGTTATATGTGGTGGTGGGGTGAGACCTCACTGCACCCAGAATGTACACATCCTTTTAGGGTTACCTTCTGTAGAATAATGCACCCGGTCACAAACCTCGGATCAGTTTAAACTGGTATCCTGAATATGACAACACATTTTAGTGACCACCACAGTCACCAATAGGGCAACTTTTAAGGTCTGGTTGAAGAGATATTTACTGCCTGGATATGTAGATGATACCTGAATAGAAACTGTGAAATATTCATTAACACAGGACGCCAATGAATAAGGGGTTAGAAAAAGGTTTAGAAAGCAAAAACAGGCAAGGGTTCTTTGTACTCTTTACTAGCCTATGGTCCTCTAGCTTTATCTTGCATTAAAAACATGCCTCCAATTCATAGACAATGGTCCAGCTGTTGTTATTCTGTCTCTCTGGGGTAAATGACCTTATAAATGGGCTGCCACTAGAAAAATTCAGAGAGCTCAAGAGAGTTTGAAGCCCCTTGTAGATCTCCGACTCTGCATTACTTTGATAGACATTAGAATATCCAACATTTCAGTGAGGTTTTATCTCCTGTCAGTTTAACATAAGGTGCAGAAGAACAAGATCAACATGAGTCAGAACCCGTAGCAAATTATACTATTTTCCGTTTCTTGCTGCCTGTGCAGTCAGAACAACAAAGACCAACATTGTACCACAGGCTGAAACCCCATGTATCCTTATGATAAACATCAGCACTTGTTGGTAGTTGTTAACTTATCCCAGCACTAATGCCCCCTGCATTGCCTTGGGAACTCAGAGGCCATTGTCTGTCGCCTTGATATGGGGTTTGGTGAAAGCGAGAGCAGACAAAAAGCCTGGCAGGTTTCTCATGCTGCGGCTTTGTGGAGCTTCGCCAGGGGAACAGAGGCTGGGGCCGCGTGCAGAAAGTGGACTACAGGTAAACTGCCACATGAACAAAAGGAACAAAACCGGGATTGTCCAATTGAATGACCACACATCCCTGTTTTTGACACATGAAGCCGGTGGTTACAGATGGAGTGCTGGGATTTAATTTCA